GAAACGGCAGACAAGTGACAAGCCATTCAAAACAACCGCGAATCGCTTCTGTGTCTCCAGAAACTTATGTTCTCGTTCAATGCAAGCCTCGATATGTGCGGACGCAATCCTGGCTAGATTCACACTGTTAGCGGGTAGCTTATTTTTCGACAGAGTTTTAACAAACCGAGATGGAAATCGACCTGACTGGATACATTCTTGATAAAATTTAACCCGTACGCGTTCCACCATGATCTTGCAACGCAACGACAACAATCGATCCAATGACCTCACAACGTCAGCGGGGAGGCTTCTTTTAAGAAACTTGAAACACTGAGTCCCCTTCAGCCACTTCATTAATGCAGTAAGAAGACAGAGGTTGCGATATGTTAACATTTCGATTGCTCTCGTCAGTCGCGACGCAATACAGGCAAGACAAAACACGCAATATATAGGGTCCACACTTAGTAACAAAGATGATAAGAAAGATAAGAATGATAAGAATGACGTAATCAGGTCCAAGGCAATCTAATTGATTGCCTCAATTGTTTCTGGGCACAGAGCACGGGACAATTCAACCTTATCAGTAGCGCCTCGCCAATCGCCAACCATATATATATATATATATATATATATATATATATATATATTTGCAAGGTCTACGAATAGACATAATGCCATCAGATACCATGGGGTTTAAGCGAAGGTATAGAAATAGTAAAGGAAAACACGGCACAACAATGTCCATGTCTTCGTCAGTCGGCGAGATACTACCCGGTTGCCCAAGCCGAAGTAGGGTCTTGACTTAGGGGACACCACCCCGAGCCTTTGGCTGAATAGCCTGTCCGCAAGGCAGCGGACCAAGTTCAGCGAATTGCGCCCATTGGGAGCCGGGGACTGATTGCGCAATTCATATGCCTTTCATTTGTTCCTTTGTCACACAGGGGCTCAATGCTCCCAAGAACTACAGCAGAACGTTGCTGGAGTACAATGCTTCGCCAGGATGAAGCAAAAGGCAGTGACTTCATTTAGTGGCGAGTTACGTCCGCCACGTCACAGTGTTGTTAAACGGACATATGTGGCTTTGTATAGTGAGAGCGCTTGCCAGGCGAAAACTCACCACGTCCTGGAACACTGCCGCTGAACCATTTGCTGGAAAGGGAAAATCCCGAACCACGTAGCTGGCACCACGAGGAGGTTGTTCGGCAAGCCAGCCGTAAAAGAATGGTCCTAGTCACGAATTCCTTTCGGCGTTATTTCAAGCCATACTTTGCCTGTTTGTGGTCACTCCACGGAATATCCGGGAAAATGCTGGTGGAACATGACACATTCCGAAGGCGCGGTGTCGATATCAGGATAGCTTCTGCTTGACCAGCGCAAGTCAATAAAACAGGGAGAGTTCTCCGTTCATCGTAGTGCTCTGAGTTTGGGTGACGCGTGATCCGTGTCAATTTGGCGGACTTAACTACAACACCTATGATGTCGCATTTGGAGTTCCACTGGTTCACCTCATCGAGTTTTTTTCCTTTTAAGGAATTTGGTCTTGACTCCGGAACGTTGGTGCAATTATCGATGGTACACTATGTGTAGCTCGGATTGATGTCAGCCGCCCAGCTGGTCTGCACCCAACCTGTGGAGGCTGTGGAAATACAACATCGTCTTCTTCATTTACCTTTGGCCCAGTGGAGGTAATTGAAGACCTAAGTTTTCGCTTGGTTTTGGCAGCAATCACGTTCCAACCACCAACAATGTGGACGTCCTTCTGAAAATGTGGAACAATTTAGTGGGTAGATGTGGCCCTCTTAATTATTCCGATCTGAATAGCGGCCTTTGTTTTAGCCTATTTGGACAGCTGGTAGGGTTGAAATCTAAAGTCACAGGGAACGCATTTTGATGCTCTGCCCAGCATTCTTCCGCTGTTTTGAAGAGGAGTCGAATGGAATGTTCTGGGGTTTGCTCACTATCAAACCATCCACTAATAATTCATCTTTAATTTTCCCCATTTCTTCAATGAATGTCAGCACTCGTTTGTTCTTCTGCTCTAATTCATGCGAAATCTTGACTAAACCATAGAGAACCTGGTATACTATTAGCTATCTTCAACTGGCTTACTTCGAGTGTTGCACATTTAGAATGAAACTTTCTTCGGCAGTTTCCACACTGAATTCCAGTTCGTACATTTATATGGCATGTTGGAAAGCCACATACTACTGTCAGCCTTGGCGTAGAACAAGGGGCAACCGTTGCTTGGTCGACAAATCCATTACGTCAATCAAAGCCATTTCGGTCAGTGGTGCGATTGTTTAGCTGTAGTTTTGTTTTCAAGCTCATCGCGTTCGGGACGTGCATGGCTGACAGCGTAGGATTGAGCGGATGGAACTTTCCTCGTTAATCTCTGAGATGTAAGTAAAGCGAGTAAGCGATGGGGATACAAAATGGCCGTTAGCTAATTCATTTAGCGGTCGACAGTTGTATATATATGAATAATAAGAAAAGAGCAACAACAAATGCTTCTGTTGTCTATTTTGCCACTCACAGCTTTTGAAATTTTTTTCATTTTGTTCTGTTTTAGGGGGAGGGAGAAGGGACAACGCAACAAACCGATGCACACGTCCGCCATTGACATCCTTCTTGAGCCATGGCTTCCAAGGACATCAAGCAACAAGTATCCGCATCTCTCGGACCCCAACCAGGTAGTCGACAACAACCGGCCGAGGCCAACTGTTTCGTCAGCTTTTTCATGCGGCTTCTCCAAGTTGTAGGCTGTCCACCAGACCGTCTCGTCCAGCCCAGTCCAGCAAGTGGAAACAACGCACGACGGGGGTAACGCTGGACAGGCATGCGCAATACGTGTCCCAACCACCGCCACTGATGCAGTGAGACGACCTCCTCGAGCGAATGGCTTCCACATCACAAGCTAACTTCCACATTGCTTACGTGGTGCTGCCACCACACACGGGCAATGGACCGCAGACAGCGGTGCTCGAAGACGGATAGCCTGCGCAAGTCAATTTACGAATGGGCCAGGTCTCGCATCCGTACAAAAGTGCTGCACCAACAGTTGCACAATAGACCCACCCTTTGGTGGAGAGACGAATGTCATGGCAACGCCACAAATGCCTCAGCCTAGAAAAAGCGAGGCCTGCTCTCGAGATGCGTATCGAAATCTAGTCTCCAACAGCCCCGTCAGCATTGATACAACTTCCCAAATAGACAAAGCTCTCCACAACCTCTAGTGTCTCGCCACCAAGAGTGAATGCTGGCACAGGTACCTGTCAGACTTGGAAGAGAGCCTTGCATTTGGATGCCGAAAGGTACGTACCGTACTTTGATGCTTCAATCGTCAAGCGGTTTAATGCAAGTTCGACGACTTGTGGATCGTCACCCAGCAAGACGATATCATCAGCATAATCCAAATCAAAAACTCAGCTACCTGGGAGGAGCTCAACACCAGCGTTCAACGAATCGCCTAGAGCGTTGTTCAAGACATCATCAATGGCGAACTTGAATAGGAACGGAGAGATAGGGCATCTTTGTCGAACTCCACTGGAGACCACAAAGGTAGGCGAAAACTTGCCATAAGCCCTAACCCTGCCCGAGGTCAGACTATATAGGGCGCGCAGTATGGACACGAACTTCTCAGGGACACCATTCCTCAGTAGGCGTCGACATCTGTGGTTATAGGGAAGCCGCGTATCCCTGAGTCGGCTTTCGTTTGAGACCAAAAATATTGCTTTGTGGTCTAAGATATGAAATATTTCTCTACTCCGATTCCGCGACAACAATGCAAAAACCAAGTGGATGAACTTACAGATGATCCTCATGTCACTGGTTGATTAGGGATCAATGACTAAAGCTGGTTCAAAATGTATTCACTTTGCATATGCACGTAGGTACGCCAAGTGCGCTTCTTATGCTGTAACCGGCTCTGTGATCTTTTGTTGAGTATACTACAGTTCATACAAGTTTCCTTCTGCTGCCAACTTACTACGGCTAACGTCCAGTCTTGACATCTGGCGACGGAGGTGGGATACATGTCTGTGTCGTACACTCCACAATTATATGAGGTCCTGTTCTATCCATAAATCGTTTTTTGAACAATTGGGATCGATGGCGAAAAACTTTTCTTCATTATTTGGATTGGCTGCCCATCTTGAATCCGGCAGTGTCCCTTTCGGAGAATCACAAAGTAAAACTTTTACTACAATTCCTTGGGGATGAAGATCAGAGATATTTTGACGCCCTTCGTATTGACGAACTCTGCTATACTACAACCAGTGCCGTGGATACATTTAGCGCTCTTTGGGGAGTTCACCGAATTGTGTTTACAGCCAGGTATTTCTTCTCCAGACAAAAGTGTGAACAAATTTATCGCCCGTATACGCCAGGCGATACAAAACTGTAAACGCAATGAATGTGATCCAGCTAGATTTGAAGCAACCATGTTGCTTCAGTGCTTGATCTCTGGGATTTCAGACCAGAATACCCAGGCGAAATCCTTCATTGCGATGATTTTTCGCTGACGTAGGAGGCAACCTGCCTGGTTGACCTGCAGAGAGAAAATCTTAACCAGCAACTAATAACGTTTACTATAAAAGACCCATAGGAGGATTTGTGATTGATTCATTGCACTCCAAAATCCAAGAAGACAACTAATAACTTCAATCCGTTCGTACGCTACCGCCGTGGAGAGCGTCATAGTTGTCCTTCGGACTGTCGACATCAAAAGACAGTAAGCAGAAGTTGCAAAAAGGATTGGTCACTTGGAGCGTGTATGCGGATGGGTCAAACTTCGTTTGGACGAGACTTATCGGGGAAGGAAGCCCATTAAAACTGTGGACGAGTCAGAAGAAAGCGAGTCCGAATTGCATTTCATATGGTCGAATACATTTCCCAAATTGCGACCTGTACTGTACACCGTATAGCTTTATATGGGTAGCTTTATATTGAGCTTCAGATTGAGTGAGAAAAGATGCATGTGGAAATCGATACGCGAGCATCAATGACGATCCTTAAGGCAGATGCTGTCAAAGACGCTACCGCGCTTATCAATTTGCAATTCTGTTCTCCGCACGTACACTGGTGAACCGATAAGTGTCCTCGGTAAATTCCCGGTAAAGGCACACTTCGGCGACAGGATACAGACGCTTCCAGTATATGTGGTCTCCGGAGATCGCCCAAATCTGCTTGGAACGGGCTGGATACGCGGATTTCCGGATACACTGGAGGTAGTAAAAACATTCGCAAAGGTTCCGGGACTTAAAGTATTACTAATGCAATATTCAGTTGCCACAGCCGTAGGGCTACGACAAGTAAAGGATTTTCAGGCTTAGATATTGTTAGACGGAAACATTCAGCTTAAATTCAGCAACGCGTGCACATTACCGTACGCCATGAGATCTAAATTGGACGAAGAATTGGCCCGCTTACAAAACCAAGGTATTAGTACCCCTGTACAATTTTCTTACTGGGGTACACCAATTATACCTGTAACCAAGCCAGACGGCTCCATACGTATTTGTGGGGACGACAAAATGGCTGTTAACCAATCCTCTATCTTAGTCAGGTAACCGTTGCCACACATTGAAAATTTGTACGCAACTCTGGTTGGTGGTGAAAAATTTACCAAGCTTGATCTCAGCCATGTATATTTGCAGATTGAACTTGACGAGTCTTCCAGGAAGCTTACTACTATTACCCAACATATTGCACTTTCCGATATACTCGTTTGCCGTTTGGTAGTAATTGTGCCGCCGGCATCTTCCAGAAGATTATCGGCAGCCTGGTGAAGGACATACTTTCGCTTGTGCTTACCTAGGCGATGTACTGATATAGGTACACTGTGATAGAGAACACCTTCAGACACTCGTTGTTGTGCTCGAGTGACTGGAACGAGGCGGATTTAGATGAAAAAAATCCAACTGTGCATTTCTTTCTTCCGTTTTCTACCTTGGCTACCGTCTGGATAAAAGTGGGTTTCATGGTTTAACTGACAAGGTGAAGCCTATTATAGCAAGTCCGGAGCCGAGGAACATTGATGAACTTCTTTCGTTCTTGGGAATGTTCTCTCGCTATCGCCGTTTTTTGCCACATATCTCTACAGTATTCTTGCCATTAAATGCATGGCTGCAAAAACCTGTGCCATGATGCTGGAATTCTCCTCACAGGGACACTTTCATTAAAGCTAAACAAGCTTTGCTAATCCACCAACATTAGCTCATTTCCATCGAAATAAACAACTTGTTCTTTAGTGTAACGTATCCTCTTGGGTGGTCGGAGCTGTGCTGTGGCCCCGTGAAAACGATGGATCCATCCGACCCATAGCACTCGCGTCGCATACATTACAAACTGTGAAGAAAAAATATTCACAATTGGACAGAGAAGCGCTGGCTGTAATCTGTGGGGTAAAGGGGTTCCACATGTACCTCAGGGGAAACTTTTTGAGCTGCACTCTGACCATATACCTTTATTATCTTTACTGAGTGAAGAAGAAAGGCATCCAAGAATTGATGTCACCAAGAATTCAATGATGGGCTGTAATCCTGAGTGCGTAAAGTTACAAGTTGATTTATATCACATGCGTCAATAACTGCACAGCCGATGCATTAAGCCGTCTGCCAGTAACTGAAGCTATACAAAAACACGTCCCTCCATTTGAACTGGTCAAGTTGAAGATACATCTAGATACAACACCAATAAGAAGCGCAATAATCCTCCACTGGACGGACCGGAACCGTGTGCTGTTAATAGTAAAACGCATCTTGACTAGGTTGGCTATCTGAAGGAACAGCGGACTTGCAACCATAAATAATTCGCAAAAGCGATCTGTCTATTCGACGGATGCATTTTCTGGGGCCAACGACTGGTCCCTCCCAGTAAGGCGCGGTCACAGATTCCTAAGGAACTCCACCACGCAGATTCAGAAGTGGCGCGGATGAAAGCATTAAAAAGGGGATATGGCTATTGGCATAAGATCGATTCAGACAGAGAATTTATTGAGAAACTGTGATATTTGTCAAGCGCATTAACGCAGTAATACGTCCGGTGCAGTACATCCGTGGGGCACAGATACACCGGCCGAAGTGCAATCCGACTCACGTTCTTGCACCGACCAATTGACGGAGGACGTGAAATCCGAAATATCAAGTAAGGCCATACTTCGGCAGTCTAGCCAATTTAATCATTGGAGTTAGATTCTGAGTAGAAAGTTATTTTCGGTTACTACCATCGGTGTCAAAATTTACATGATGGCAGGTATATGCTGGATGGGCCGGAGAGGCGACGTACTGTTTAGTTTGTTTAATGGCAGCGGAAACAATGAACAATGATATATTACAGGTAAGAAAGCGATTGCTTTACAAGTCCTTTAGGATGCTTGAAAATAAACATGTAAATCGTCCATTTAAGCGTCTTGCGATTTAGGAGCCCGTTATTCATATAAACCTTTTAGTATGTGTACTGAATTGTTACTGTAGATTAATATGGGAAGTGATCTGGGGAAGGGATGTCTTAAGAACAAAAGAAACGACAACGCTTACTCGTGCGCCTCTTTTTTGGGCTGAGGTAATTGATGAAGGCAGTTGTGATATATCCGAAACTATATCCCACAACAACAGTTTGTAAGTAGTAAAGCACAAAAGCTGAGAATGAGCACCGTTTGTTCGCGTTTGGTTGACGTAGACATCTCTGATTATACAGTGTAATGTAAGTGGATAAGCGAATCATCCAGACGTCTTTTGAATACCGTTAGCGTGGGTGAAGAAACAACGTATGTGGGAAGAGCGTTCCAGTGTTGGCACACACGAAGGGAAAAGAAATTCCGGCGGCATTCCAACCGGCTGTATTGTGTGTCCAGCTTTAGATGGTGTCCTCTGAGTGTGGTATTGCTATTCAGCTTTAGTAGGTGACGACAAGAATGGTTTGGATTCCTGAGGATCATATAAGTCATTATCAAGTCGCCACGCAGGCGTCGAGTCGCCACGCAGGTCTCTGATGTTGACAGATTATGTACAAGGGGCAAATCGCGTTCACAAACAAAGTTTAACTTGGACACAAAGTTAAAGGTACTTGTAGGCCACGGTAGAAATAAAGGACTTTCAAACTGTTTTCTGACGCATGACTCGGGCTTGGGATAGCGGATATAGATAGCCACCGCAATATATAGGAAATGCTCCTGGAATCCGCGCCAGAAACGTTCAGGAATAGTGTAGATGACACTGAAATCATTTTCCGTTCCTGTGTGATTGCACTCTAAGCGGTGCGACATAATGGTGGTATTACTAGACCTCGCTTCGCCTCTGTAATACCAGTTCGGAATGTGTTCACGAATCCCATGAGATAGGCGCCTCATAGCATGACACACACTTCATGTACCACAGGAGCTCGAATATTGATAAACTAGCTTTCATCGAGTCAACGGAGTTATCCTAGCTTTCATAGGTTCTGCGAGTAGAGGCTTTTTGTAGTATAGTATGCGTGAGCAAGCTACGAAATAGGTCTTTTTAACCGCCTCTTTCTAGCACTTGGACAGGGCATCAGCCGCACTGTCGCATTTGAATGGAAAATATACAATGAATTCTTTTTTGGGTACACTCATTTTCGCTGGTAGTGTTTTGAATTTTTTCAAATATTTGAGGATAAGTTTGTCTTGATATCCATTTACTCTTAAAGCGCCACCGATTCTCTGCAGTTCCTTGGTGATGGTATCCGTTGTGCATATTCTGTGTGCCCAGTAAGCCAGGGTACAGACTAGATTTCGTTTGTTCTGTAATGGTACTGTAATGTACTGTCCAGTCCAAGTTTGTATTCTATACACTCTTCTATTTCAGGATCCATCGATCTTTCGGATGACATAAACGTCCAGAAATGGTAGTCAGTTTCCGGACTCATGTTCACAGGTAACTTGTAGATTTTAATGCGCCTCCTTAAAGGCTTTTAACAGCTTCACAGCTTGCATTTAGGTTTGCAGAGGATAAATGTGTCGTCTACACAACGTATATACATCTCGACTAAATTGATATGTGCTCTTAGTGAACTATGCTCCAACTTCGATGGCATAGCCTATGGTGCGGCGCGGCTGTTGGTGGCTAGATCCTTACAGATGGTCTACCCACTGCTGCTACTGTTGTGCCACGGGCTCATGTCCTGGACGCCTCCTCGTGGCGACCGCTGGGTAGGAGTTGGGTTTCGCCCTTCTCCCTGCTAAGATTCAGGACACCAATCCGCATGAGTCAGTGAACTGACCATGTGCTAGACCCGCTGTCTTTCGGGTGTACATTTAATGGAAGGCTTTGGCTGAGGACCCGAGTCGTTTTTCTGTCAGGTGTGAGCGCCCTGTCAGTATCCTAGTCCATCCTCTTCGGAGGTTAGGAAGTGATCGATGGCCCTCTTCCCGTGAAACCTAGCCATGGGAGACAAACGTCTACGGATTATAAGCTCACAGCTCGATTGGCGTAGAGCACGAACGCCACACATTGTCTCTGACGGTGGGAGGGCACCTCCGGGTGTTCAATGGTTTGTTACTGCCCGCCTCAAGCCAGGCAGCTCCTGGTCAAATTGGTGCAAACCAGCCAAAACCCAACAGCGCCTGGCCGTGGTCACAGTTGCGTATCCTACTACGGTCGCAAAACATATAAGAATTGTTCCAGATCTCCAAAAGCTGCTTGTGACGGACCTCAAGCAGATCCCAATGTGTATCTGCAATCACATTCCCGAGCTGGATCTGCTCCCCACTGCCTTGTTGGTATGGCTATTTAGCCAAAGGCTCCGGCCGGAGTCCCTCAAGTAAACCTCCAAATCCCCCACTGCCTTGTGGGTCAGGATATTGAGCCAAAGGCTCCGGGTGGAGTCCCTCAAGTAAACCTCCAAATCACCCACTGCCTTGTGGGTCAGGATATTGAGCCAAAGGCTCCGGGCGAAGTCCCTCAAGCAAACCTTCAAAAGCACAACGGCCACCTCGCGTGCGATTGCCCACCAATGCAATCGTATGCCTGCGCGCAAAGCACTCAGCATCGGGTGCTGGAACGTGCGTACACTACTGGACCGGAACTCCAGTGAGCGCCCCGAGCGACGCACTGCACTGGTCGCGATGGAACTGGCGCGTTACCACATCGATATTGTGGTGCTCAGTGAAACTCGACTCGCTGATCAAGGTAAGTTGCATGAAGCAGGTGCTGGTTACAGAGTATACTGGGGGAACCAACAGCCCTCAGCGCGCGACTGATGACTGTTCGCCTACAACTTGGAAGAGGTAAGTTTGCCACTTTTATAAGCACGTACGGTCCGACCATGTGTTATCCTGATGACATGCGTGATCAATTCTACACTC